GCTGGTTGACAGTTGCCTTTTGTATCTATGCTTCTTTTTCTATGTCTGCTTCTGTCTCCTTGAACCCCAGTGGGCCTCAGCAGATGGCCGCTCAGACCAAGTCTTGTTCTGCTGGAGGTTTCTTCCTGTTAAAAGGGAGTTTCTCCTCTCCACTGTTGCTACAAGCATGCTTTGTGTGAGGGATTGCTTCCGAGTTAATGCAATCAACTGGTTTTCCTTAGATAGAAAACTTTGAATCAATTTGACTGTGTAATCCGGTGATAGAAATAAATTTTAAAAAAGCTGTTTTAATTTAGCCCTAGAAGGACTGTTTTATCGTCCTACCTCCAATGGCCAGCCGCCGCCTCTTCCCCGTTCTGGTGCTCTGTCTGCCCCACTATTATCATGGAAACCGATCTCTTGGTTAACTATTTAATTGTACTTTTATTCCTTTCAAACTCACATGCAGTGCGGAAAGGCACAGCAATTTTCCCCTGGATGCTGTTAACCAGCAGCAGATGACCACTTCTCCTGGAGATCATGGAGGGCAGAACACCTAAAAACAGAGGTACCACCGTCACTGTTACGTTATCATACCCAACAAAATAAATGAATAAAGTTTAACATGCTCCAATCGGCTACCTTTGGCCAAAGTGATGGGACCAAAGTAGTTGTTGTCCATTAGAAGCTTATCCATCTCCAGAGACAGACTCTGTGCTGGAGCTTTGACCTTCATGCTGCTGTTAAAGATGAGCACGTCCAAGCAGCCGTAGCACTCCAGTATCTCAGCGATGGCCTCCGCCATGCTGTCCATGTCCCCAAAATCAAGCAGCACAATTTTTGGCGGGAACGTCTGAGAAAGGAAGTAAATATGAGGAGCTGACTTTCAGCTATTTTTCCTAAGGTAATAAATCCTGAATTAGGCTCTTTTTTATAACCCCCATCTGAAAAACTGCTTTTACATTCATTTTACCATAAGTGCAGTATTTTAAAGTAGAATTTTAGCTGTAATGTATTGTAGGTATCTGAAGCCTAAAGGTATTGTGGAGGATTTTTGCAAATTTCTTAAAAGACCTGCCCTTTCCACTTTAAAGCCTGTTTCTCCTTGTGCACGCTCTGTTTAAAAGTTGCTGTTTTCATAGCTTATACACGCTTATTGTCCATCCTAACCCCTAAATCCCTTAATCAATATATCAAGCAGGGACTATATAGAGAACTTTATAGCAAACTCAGTTAACTGGCAGTTCGGACAGATGATCACTACTTTTTGTTCTGTTTTTACGTAACTTCTCCTCCACTGAGCGGTGCATGCGGCATCTTTGCTACTATTCTCCGCTGTCGGGTAGCGACAGCCTATGGTGACAGTGGGCTGCTGTAAACAGCAAATCCCTTAATGCTTTGCAAGTAAAGCTCTCCATGCAAAGTATTCTGGGATATATCTGCCTCTTCTGAGGCCTTTCTTTTCTTCTCATACACTTCATAGTCACCTTTTCTGTTATGACCCTTGACCATTTTCAAAGAACCGCAGTGAGAAAGGTGAGCTTCAATGACTGTCTGAAACCGTAG